CTGCAGATCATGGAACCCAAGACCACCTAACTTCTTTGGGAGAGTAACTAAAGCCCACTTCTTCCAATGAATCCCAGTTGAATTATCACCCCCACTCTTCCACCAGAATTTAGCACATATACTAGCAATTTCAAGGCATGTAGCTTTGGGCAGAGCAAAACATGACATATTGAAGATAGGCAAGGCAGAAAGCACTGAATTCATTAACACTTCCTTACCTGCAAGTGAAAGGAAGTTGTTTTTCCAGCTGGAAACCCTCTTTCTGACTGCCTCAACAACAAATTCAAATGTCTGCTTTTTTGATCTTCCAATTCCAAGAGGTAAGCCAAGGTATTTGGAGGATCTATGAACTTGCACCCCACTGAGAAGCTGACAAATCTCATTTTGCAAACTGACAGTGACATTCTTGCTAAAAAAAATAGAGGATTTGTGGAGATTGACTTTTTGACCAGAGTACTTATGGTAAGAATCAAGAATTCTCAAAACAGCAGAGATGGAATTAGCGTTAGCTTCACAAAATAAAAGAGAATCATCAGCAAACAATAAGTGAGATAACCTCATCCCACCCTTAGCCAGCCTCACCCCTCTCAAATCCCCCCTATCAACCTCTCTATTGATCAATCTAGAAAAGAGCTCAGAGGCAAGAATAAAAAGATAAGGGGACAGTGGGTCCCCTTGTCTAATCCCCCTAGAAGCATCAAAGTACCCACACAGCTCCCCATTGATATTTAAAGAAAAAGAGGCAGAAGTAACACACCCCATAATCCATTTGACAAACATTTTATGAAACCCAAATTGCTTCAGAATATTACACAAGCAGTGCCGCTCAAGCCTATCATAGGCTTTCATCATATCAAGTTTGAGAGCTAAAAAGCCTTTCATGCCAGATCTATGCCTATTTAAAAAATGAATAACTTCATGAGCTATGATAACATTATCTAACAATTGCCTACCAGTGATATAAGCAACTTGGTTCTCACTCACACACAAATGAAGATAAGGCTGAATTCTAGAAGCAATAATTTTAGCTATGATCTTGTAAGCTACTTCACATAAACTGATAGGTCTGAAATCACTGAGAGAAGAAGGGTTTGTACATTTGGGAATCAAGGTGATGATAGTATGGTTCCAACTTCTCAGGAGCATACAAGACTCAAAAAAACTAGAAATAGCAGCACACAAATCATTCTTGATGATAGGCCAAAAATGTTGGAAAAATAAAGGGGACATACCTGAAACTCCTGGGGCTTTCTCTGGATTCATACTGAATAGAGCTGTCTGAATTTCATCTTCATCAACCAAGGCTAATAGGTTGTTATTAATCTCTTGAGTAATGACTGTGGGAATAAGCTGAAGAACACCCTCATCATCTACAGAGCCTTCAGAAGAGAACAACTTCTTATAGAACTGGCATGCTTCTGCTTCAATCTCAGGCTTAGAGTCACAAACTCTACCATCATCAGCCAGAAGTCTAGAAATAGCATTGAGTTTCCTCCTTTGAATGGTTAGGGCATGGAAAAATCTGGTATTCTGGTTCCCCTCTTTAAGCCATAAGTTCCTTGATTTCTGCTTCCAAAATAATTCTTCTTCACATTGTGCAATATCTAACTCCTTCTTGATTTGTTCCCAGGTGTCCCAATTTTTTCCATCACTCATAAGTCTCATTTCCTCAAGCTGAAGAGTAAGCTTCTCAATGTGTTTGGCATTGTTGGATTTAAATGCTTGGCTCCACTTCAGAAGAGCCACCCTAGTAAGCTTTATCTTTTCTTGGAACTGAAACATGGGAGTACCTAGGCACTGAGAGTCCCAGGCTTCTTGAACCACATTCTGCACATCTGATTTGGCTATCCATCTTTTATCAAAAATGAATCTGGATTTCTTCCTGTGCTGTAGCTGATCACTGAGCAACACCATCAGACTATGGTCAGAAGAGGATTTGAAGCAGTTTAATACTGTAGCATTGTTGTGAGCAGCTGACCACTGAAGAGAACCAAATACTCTATCCAGCCTTTCTTCCACAAAGTGTTCTTTGATTCTGTTGTTTGACCATGTGAATTGATGCCCCTGTATAGCCACCTCCACCATCTCCATTTTACTAATAAAGTTTTGGAAACTTATCATGTCAGCATTGCTCTTGTCTCGGCCTCCCCTTTTCTCACTTAGATCCACAATAGCATTCCAGTCCCCTCCTATTATCCACTCTTGACCCCACTTAGCTTTAGCTTGAACAAGAAATCTTCACTGCTCTTCTCTAACAGCTTTATCAGTACTAATATAGACAAAGACCAACCACAAGGTACCCACACCATCAGGCTTACTAACTTCCACTTCAAAACAAAAAGGGTGCTGAATAATTTGCACAATGCTCTGATTAATATCCCACATCGGCACTAAACCTCCATTGATACCTAAGGGGTTGACAGCAACCCAACTACCCCTATAACCTAACTTAACGCAAATAGACTGTACAAAATCTTTTTGTTTTTTAGATTCTGAGAGAAAAATGAAGCTGGGATGGTGGATTCTGATGGAATCCTTCAATTGAGAAACTGTAGAAGGTCCACCCAACCCTCTACAGTTCCATAGTATCATCTTCATTGATCCACTTGGGGCCATTTGAGGCTGGCTTCCTCCACCTTAGCATTGGACTTCTTGGATTTTTTCTGGCTTCTTGACACCTGGACTTCTTTTTCTGAATTCTCATTCTGAGATAGGATTAACTGTCTGGCCCTTTTCAAAGGCTCTAGCTGTATGGATCCTTCTGCTTGAGTTTGCTGTCTGGTAAGCCTACCTTCTTTCATCTTATTTCTTTTCCATCCCCTAGGTTTGGCTGAGACAACTTTAGAATCCTCGAGAACAAATTCTGTTAGGGGCAACTCTGGTGCTGAATCTGCCATAACAAGGTCCAAATGGCCAGGCTTCCCAAAACAGATGAGTTGCTGATGTTCACTTATCTCAACTAGATTCCCCTCAACTGGCACAATATGTTTGGACTGGATTGAAGCCCTTTTACTAGAACTCCCCTTCTCAAAGATGATAATTGGCTCTTGTTCTCCCAGATCTGATAAAGGAGTACTAAGATGACCCTCCTTATCACTCTTCTTGCTAGCCATACTAGCAAAATTGTCCTTGCTTGATGATCCCTGGTTCCCGTTAGCATTGTGAGCAGTATCATTTTTCTCAGTTGTAGGTGGAGAGCTATTTTGACTCATTTTAAAGCTGTTTCTAAGGGCTCCTCCTCCCTCTAATGCTCTAAGCCAATCCCCATACTGACCCTCTTTCAAGCACCCATTTTCAATGTCTGATGGCCTTTTAGAACAGGCTCTATCTAAATGCCCAATCTTGCCACAGTAGAAACATAAACTGACTAACCTTTCATATTGAAACGCAACCATCACTTGTTGGTCCATAAATTTCATAGATTTGCACCGTGGAATCGGCTTGGTGAGGTCCACCGTGACAAGGAGTCTTAAAAAACCCCCTTTGCCTCTTCCTGCTTTGACCACTGATACATTCTTAATTTTTTTGAATATCTTTCCCAACTTCAACCCTACCTCTGCACTGAGCCAGTCTAGGGGCAGATTCTGAGCTTTAACCCAAATGTTGAGTTTGTCAAAACTTGGATGATTAACCCCCATCCCCTTCACCCATTCTCTCAGTATCAGGTACTGATTCTCAAATATCCAATGCAGACCAGTAGCCACTTTCTCTTTGTCTTCTGAGTTCCCAAAAATGAATTGAAAGAAATTTGGTTTAAGCTCACGAACTTCCACTTGCTGTTGGATTTGCCATATTGCACTCATTGTTCTCTTGATGCCGAATAATGTGGCTCTTCTATCACCGATAACTTTTCCAAACAGGCTTCGAGCGCATTCCTCAGCACTTGATTGGATATCATTCGCTTCTAACTCAATAACGCCATTTTCATCTCCTTCCAGATCTATCTTCTTCAGCATATTCCCAATTGCCTCCATCGGTCCCTCTGTAGCCTTGGCCTTGGTTGAATCTGAATCCATACGACCCCAATCGCAGAACCCTAAGAAAACCCTAGAATGAAAAAGAAAAGAAGAAGAAAAAAAAAAGAACAAGGGTTGGCTAGGGACATCAAAATTCAAAATAAAGCTATTGTTTGCCGTTTGCGTGGCATATTAGTAATTTCAAAGCCCACAAGAACAAGGGTTGGCTAATTGGCTTCAAAAAAAGCGAGACACTTTCTATGGAAGTGTTTTACTAACAACTTGCCAGTTGCTCAAGAATTTGCTGCATAAGAGAATCGAGGTGGAGCCTTTGTGCAGATGTTGTGGGGAGGAGATTGAAACTGTGGCACACTTATTTTTTGAGTGCAGGAGGGCACAGCTAGTATGGAAGGCCTCAACTCTGTCTTGGGATTTCTCTGAAGCTGCGTACACAGGATTTAAAGGTTGGTGGTGGCACATTGCTGAAATGAAGATGACACCCGTAACTGAAGCGCGCATTCAACTTTCCACGTACATATTGTGGTGGTTGTGGAAATCCCGGAACCTGTGGGTCTTTCAGAAGGAATGGATGCCTGAGGAGACAGTGGCCAAGCTTGCTCACAGAGAATGGACTGAGGCTTCTTATCTTCCTTTTCACTAGGTTCTATTTTTGTTGGTTTGGTGTTTTGTTTTTTGTTCCGGTTGTGTATCCATAGCTAGGTCCCTTATGGTTCAGTGGATTGGATTTTGTTTCTTTTTTTTAGTTGTGGTTTGTTGGAGTTTCTAGGTTATGTTGAGGACGCAGGGTCGCTTAACTTCTGTTATGCCTGTTGTTCTTGTTTGTCGTTTCTACGAGGCCACCATGTGGAGTGGTTCTCTGGGTTGTGTTTTGGCTAGTTGGCCATGCGGTTGTAAATTCTCTATTTATTTGAGTAATATGAGTCTTATTATCGTTTGGAAAAAAAAAATATATATATATTTCCAAANCCACACCCACAAAAGAATAACGGCTTAAAAAGAATTTTCAAATGTCTCTAGTAAAACATTAAATCGAAAAAAGAAAATAAATTGTCGTCCCCCGCATTGGCACGCTTTCGACTTTGCTCCCCAAATTCCTCTTTTTCTCTCTGTAGACTTTCCCGAATAAATACCAAACCATTTTCATCTTTTCCTTTCAATTTACCTTCTCTCTACGCTTTTACGGGCACATCGAGGCTTGCCTAGGTTTTTCGGCCAGACAGAGTGTGTGTAAGAGATTAAGGACCGGAAAATGGGCCAGCAATCGTTGATCTACAGCTTCGTCGCACGTGGGACTGTGATCCTGGCCGAGTACACTGAGTTTACCGGCAACTTCACCGGAATCGCCGCCCAGTGCCTCCAGAAACTCCCCGCCACCAACAATAAGTTCACCTACAACTGCGATGGCCACACCTTCAATTACCTCGTCGAGGATGGATTCAGTAAGCGTCTTTTGGTTTACGATCTGTTTTAGCTCCTTTATTGTTAGACTCTGCACTACTTTTCGTTTTTCGTTTTATGTTTTTTGTTTTTTGGCTTGAAAATCGGTATTCTGGGATTGTAGAGGACTTGCTCTTTGCTGTGAGGTTTTTCTTCGTGTATTAGGAGTTCAGATCTTAGTTCATTGTGTTTTATTTACCCTGTTTTTCTTAAATTCTGAATTGATTGGTTTTTGTTCAGGATCTGGTAGAAATTGTTAGGAATGAAATTTTGTTTTACTTGATTAAATGCGCAATGATGTTTAAATAAGTTGAATCTATTATATTCGGACATGATCCAAATATTTTCTATACATAGCCCATTTCTAATGTTGGTCGAGGAATTAAGCATCACTAATAGTAATTAAGCCCACAATGGTTCATCGAAAATTGGACTGCATTTTTCTTAACGTGTTAAATCTTGTTTAGGGTTTTGACTAATGAGTTCGGTTGGGTACTTTACAGAGATAAACATTTGTTTCTGTAGGATCTGTAGTAACTTAATCGAAATTTGTTCTTAAGTTTTTTATTGATGATTGTTTGGGTTCTTGGATCTCCTATGACACATTGTCTTGAAGGCTCGAGCATGTGAACTGTTTTAACAAGTGTATGATCTGAGCATATCATTTATGGTGATGTTTATGTAATGCTTGTGCAGTGCCTTAGCATTTTACATTTTTGTTAACATCATTTCTGTGAATTGATATTTGTGTTTCCGGATGACAGCATATTGTGTTGTGGCTGTTGAGTCTGTCGGAAGACAGCTTCCTATTGCATTTCTTGAGAGAATTAAGGATGATTTCACCAAGAAATATGGTGGAGGAAAGGCAGCTACATCTGTTGCCCACAGCCTGAATAGAGAATTTGGGTAATCTTCTAAATTAGTGTTCCCTTTTTTCTTCTTACTATGTCTGGATTGGCTATTTTGTTGGTGGGTGTTGTTAACTTATTTGGCCCAATTATGACATCTTAGGCCCAAACTGAAGGAGCAAATGCAGTATTGCGTTGATCATCCAGAGGAGATCAACAAGCTTGCAAAGGTAAAAGCACAGGTATCAGAAGTCAAAGGGGTGATGATGGAAAACATTGAAAAGGTAATCATTTGTGCGACTGCTCTTATCATCAAAGCTAATGATGTGGGATTAAGTTAGGATTTGTAGACGAAGTGTGATTTAGTATTAAACCTTCTGTTTTGTCAGGTTCTTGACCGGGGTGAGAAAATTGAGCTTCTGGTGGATAAAACTGAGAATCTTCGGTCTCAGGTATTTACACCACTTTTGGTGATGATTATATAACATGAACCCTAACTCATTATTGAATATTAGCTGCACATCTTCTTTCTGAACGCCTGTTGGAGCTCTCCCAATGCACGAACAAAACTATATTTCTAAATTCGGAATTTTCCTGATTGATGGAGAGTTCACTGATTGCAGGGAACTATTTTTTTATTCAGAATACCTGTGCTAAGAATCTAGTTTGCACTGATTGCATGTCAAGCACTAATACTATTAGGAATTCCTTATTGTTGAACATGAAGATCCCTGCTTGTGGATTAGACTAAGTTGATTGTTGTAATGTAAACTTTTGCAGGCTCAAGATTTTAGAACGCAAGGAACTAAGATGAGGAGAAAAATGTGGCTGCAAAATATGAAGATAAAGTTGATCGTCCTCGGCATCATCATTGCCTTGATCTTAATCATCGTTTTATCAGTATGTGGTGGATTCAAATGCAATTAGAGCGTGATTGTGTGTTTTGAGTAGGTAGTCGTGGGATGGACTCACTCGCTATTTTTTTAATTCATCCTTGTTTCTGTGAGATGATTGTTTGTATAGGTTGTATTTCTGAATGACTCCTTATGTTAGAGAATGAGTTGGATTGTGGTAGTGAACTTTGAGGTGGTGAGTTGAATTATGCATCTGTACTGCGGCTGGGGGAATGGTTTGAATTATTCAAGTATTTGTTTCTAAGATGTAGTTCTTGGTAGCCTTATATAATTCATAAGTCAATTATTGTGTGCTAGATGGTTGATATATGATGTGATGCCCTGTTGAATTAGCTTACTAGTTACAATAGGTGTGCTGGTACACCAAAATATCTTCAGGTAATGTTTAACTTTTGTTGTAAAACAGATCTGATATAAATATATAGATGAGATCTTGAGCCTAATAAACTTAAATAAACTCTGTAGCAAAATTTTCAAAAAAAAATATACATTAAGGACTTACTTTGGTACTTTGGTAAATAGTTTTTAGTTTTAGCGGATTCTATTTGTTTTGACTAACGGGTAATACTAGTTGTTTTGACCACATCATACCCCGCAATCTCCGCCGCTACCACCAAAGCATCGTTATGGAGCACCAGCACCCCGTGGGAATCCCTCGCACCAAATTTCAACTCCGACATAACCTGAGACATCTGAACCTCTGCCACGCTCTCCCAATCCGCCCTCAGATTAGCTCGTCTAGCTCCATTGGAATCACCATCCGTCGATCCCCCGACAACCATATGGATCACCCCCCTTTTAGGAGCTCTCTCACCCTGCTCCTCTTGTCTCTGCTTCTTCTCTCCCCCTTCCACATCATCTTTCTTCTCCTTATCCAGAGCCACAAACTCCTTCAAATGCCCCGCTCTGATAAGCCTCTCAATCTCATCCTTGAGCTCCTTGTAGTTGTTCGTCCAATGTCTATAGTCACGATGGTACCTGCAATAAGGATCTCCTCGCACCGGCACCTGTCCCGCTTTCTTAGGTAGTGGATGAGGCTTCCCAAACATCTTAGTCTCCCCTCTATGTTCCAACATCTCATACACCTCCCCCCTTGGTGATGTTAGTGGCGTATAATACTCGTATCTAAAACCCATACGCCCATTCTCCTCATTCCTGCTCTCCCTACCTCCTGACCTCCTCTCATCCGGTCTATACTTCTCATCAAGCGCCACCACCACAACTGGCCTCACCATCTCCGTCTGTGCTCGCGCAACCAGAGCTTTACTAACCGCCTCCGCTATAAGACGGTCCAACTCCGTCCTGGTCACCCTCATCTCAGGCTCCCTTCCTCCCTGCACGACGCCTGGCCCCAGTGTCTGCACAATCACCTCCTGGCTTCTTCTCTGCTCCGCCACCGGGATCTGGCTCACCACTTGCAGATTCACCTGAGGGGTAGCCGTTGGACCCTCACCTCTAGTCCACCCCACCGGTGGTCCTCCTCCGTAGGGCGTTTGCGTGACCCAAGCCTCCTCTAGGTTCTCGTCCAAATTCCTCCTCAACGGTTGCTCTTCTCCGATCGTCGTTTCCATCTTAACTTTACTGTCAATCAGTAGAGTAACTGAGTTACACCACTAGACGGCGCCAATTGATGTGCTCCTGCACTTGAACTGGCTTCCCTCCAATCCTCGACTGCTCCAAGACCTGCAAAGACACCGGGAGGTGCTCTCGGCGGTAAACCTCCGACGCTCAAGTAAGTAAGAGATCAAAGATAGAAGGAAGTTGTGTATAGAATTTAGGGTTTGTAGACTGATTAACCTTACCTCCTCCAATGATTTACCTATTTATATGAAGTTACTAGCTTGTTCCCTACGCTTTGCTTCTCCTCCGTTGGATCTATTATTCCATCTTTGATCCTGACCTTACACGTGTCCCTTGTGGACCTGATTTGATAACTGTCGCATCTACTCAGCTCTCGACAAGCTTTCTAAGCCCAAAATCTGTAGACGAGTTGTTGTTGCTACTAGACCAAGTCCAAATAAGACCGAGCTCCTAATGTAACTATACAACCGAGCTACAACCATGTCCACAAGGCCGAGCTACTACAAGGTCCATTAGACCGAGCTCCTACAAGGTCCATTAGTCCAATGTAGCTATAAGACCGAGCTCCTAATGTAGCTATAAGACCGAGCTCCTGCTGCTACCTAAACCGAGCTGCTACTTCGCTAGAGCTAATCTCCTAACTCCAACCTTACATAAACGAGCAGCTCTTTGCCGGTCCACCGATTCATTACTAGGTGCTACATCAAAACTAGTTCTTTGTTATTAGCTGTTGGTAAATTACCTGTAATGATATCATTATTTGCGTACATTTCCTCAGGAATTTGACGCTCAGTCGTTGGTAAATTATATATTTTAAATATAATTTATATTTTGTATATTAAAAAAAATATCACAATTGTAGAGACAAAATTTTGTGATGACAATTTTTTTAATTGAAAGCAATTTTATTTTCCAAAAAAGAAGTAAATAATCATTCAAGGAAACAAGAAGAAAGATTGGTGAAGAAAGTGGGCAGTAAAAAATTTCACATCCCTTCGATAAACCTCAATTTTATTTACTTATTTATTTTTTGTTTCAAAGTGAAACTAATTTGGCAAAGCAAAAGGGAAAACAGGACAAAGCCGAATCTAGTTCATCAAGGGACAGACTGCAACAGATGTAGGAGGTCACATGGAAACTACCAGTCAAAAGCAAACTGAGGAACTTCATGTGGAAATGCTGGTTTGGGTTTCCAAGTACCAAGCAACAATTACTGCAAAGAGCGATGAAGATGGATGTGGTGTGTGAAACCTGTGGAGAAGAAGCTGAAGATCAAGACAATATGCTTTAATTGCTTGTTGTTGGCCGAGAGATTTTGGAAGAGGAATTGAGTGTTTCATCCACACGTGATGCATTCCTAAACATATATGAAATTTCTTGTCCAAACACTAAAGATGATATATATATGTCCATGTTCAAAATAATATACATCAAATCAAATATACACTGCTGCTACTTTATCTACTTTCTAGAAATTGTTGCATTATTTCACTAATCACAACACTTGACGTTGAACGCCAATATTGATTAAGCTTTGAAGATATCAACATGCCAATTGATCTCTATGTTGAGAAATCTCCTCAAATATCGGCAGTCTCTTTGATCTATTTGGTGACCATTCATTCAAGACGCGTTCAAGGGCTTCCACAAAATCATCCTCGAAATTCAGGCCCAAAATATCATCTGAAATATATAGGTTCTTAAGCTGGTGGGCCTCCAATTCTTTTGACAATTCATCAGCCCGTTTTATTGACCTGAGGTCATCACAACCTTGGAATTGGTAGTGCAGGACATCCTGGAGAACCGAACGGGCCTCGTTGTAACGGGCTTGCTTGATGAGGCATTGGCATAGGTTCAAGGCCTTGTTAGCGTCCGGGTCAATCATTTGGGCCTTTCGGTACACAACTTCTGCTGCCATGAAATTGGACTTCTGCATATAAGCCCAGCCCAAATTCCCCTACTTTCATCAATTTGGTCGATTAGTTATTTAGATTTTATGAACTTTGAACAGTCTATCTATCTATATATATAAATAATTGAGCAAAATTTTAAATAAAACTTTTTTATTTTTTTCACCTTTTTTAGTTATACACATATAATAATTATATTTTTTCTTTCATTTTAAATCATTAATGCACTGTAACAATATCCCTATCTACTATCACCTTTAATTTTTTCTTTCAAAGTATAATTCTTTTGACATGGTTCACATTTTCAGTTACAGGACCCTTAATTTTTGCTCCAATATTTTTCAGTTACACATTATTTTAGTACTTAAAAATAATAATAATAATAATAATAATAATAATAATAATAATAATAATAATATCTCAAACCTATAAAAAAATATATTATTTATAACAAGTTATGTCTATCTAGTGATTGATATGCAAGTTAGGCAATTTATATTTATATTGTTCATTTTTACTAATTGCTAAAATTTTAAAATGTGATACTCATTATCTAACTTATAACTTTAAATATTATTTACATACTACTACATTTTATATAACATTTATTTGCACGTGGGACAACTAAGCAAAAGGGTGGTAATTACCAATATCCTAGAGGTTTCCTGCCTGACAGAAACCTGAAACTTTTTGCCATGGGAACGCGCAGTCTTTGTGGGCTTCCCATTGAAAGCTTCCCCAAAATATATCTTCTTCAGCTTATGCTTTAGAAGCGCTATTTGTTCATCAACATTTCCACATTTCTGCATATATGAATTGCTTATACTTAATATTATGACAAGATATATATATATATATATATAACTAGTAATTAAAAAATGAAAAAAGAAGAATGTAGAGTGAGTAATTAATTAATATGATTACCACCTTGTACAAGTCAAAGAGGACGTTGTCCAATGATTCTTGGGCGTGTCTTGGACAAAGGCGGCGAAAGGATTTGACGGCTTCAATGGCCTCTTGAGTTCTATCGAGCTGCTTCATAACAACAGCCATGTCTTTAACAGCACTTTCAACTCTATCGCCCGCGTTTATGGCTTTCCAGAACAACAACACTGCTGATTCTGGATCTTTCTCCACTAGCTAATTATAAATAAATTACAATAGCGCGTCACTTTTATTATTATTATTATTATTATTATTATTATTTTAATATAAGCTAATTAACTTCAGAAGAACAAATTGGACTAATAACAAATTTAACTCTTTCTTTGGGACATAAAAGATCAAAGTCTTGTAGCGACATACATATAAAAGTTTAAAGAAAAAAAAACAATAATAAAAATAAAAATTATGAAGGAATGAGACCTGAGCGTATTTGGCCCGAACATAAGGGCTATCACCAGAAGGAATCTTGTGAATCACATGAAATGAATCCCTTTCTAATTTCTTCGGACAAAATTTCGTCAAACCACTTTCCATTTCTTCTTCTTTTTTTTTTTTTTTTCAGCTTTGTT